CTGCTTCCGTGCAGGCTTCGGTTTCGTCTCTTTACCCTTTTATTGTTTTGTGTATTTCTGTTAAAATTTAATAGTAATTATCAGCACGTGTTCTTAGTATATATATAATTTTGTTTTCTTCATAAATCTATTTAATTAATTTCATAATTTGAATAACAAATGAAACTTAATACAATTAAATCAAACATGTAGAGTTTGATATATTTTTTAGAATTTATTTATTTATTTTTTATTCTTGATTTACATATAGTACTAGAAATTTATTGGTGGAAGATATTTATGAGAGCAACGTGAGCCACAAGAATTTGAGAGTGGGTCCATTGTACAAGCATTTTGGCGACCAGCACAGTGGAGTACTCGTTCTATTGAGCACTGTTTGTTTACCGCATAAAAAGGACTTTCATTGAGAGTGGGTCCACTGTATTTTCTTATTTTTTAAATATTTTGTGTTTAGTTATTTCGGATATATAGAATTCGTATAGTATGTGATGCAAAAGGGGATATATAATACCAACTCCATGATATTAAATATCTCTCACCATCAGATATAGAGAATTTTTTTTCCAAAGATAAAAAATAATAATTACTCTTCTTTTATTTCATTCTATATTTTAACCAAATATAATATAAGTGATCTTATAATATATATGATCTATCTTATATTGTATAACATATCATATGTTATCTTTATTCGTAGATATTACATATTCTCTTTAAATTCTTATATCTAATTCGAACAATGTAAGCACATTCAATATGTTTGGTTTCAGTCTGAATTCAATTTTTTTAAAAATGAGTTTTTTGTTTTTTGTGCTTTTTGTTTTTAGTAAATATTTTTAAAATTTTAAGTATTTTTTTACTTTTTTAAATACATCTTACTTAGATGTATCTAAAAAATAAAATATTTGTGAAAGATATTTTAAAAAATTAATAAATACACAAAAAATACAAAAAGATACTGAATTTTCATTTTTTTTTATATTTTTGGTATTTAATGAATTTTTTAGAGATTTTTTTCACGAAAATTATATTTTTTAAGTATATTTATATTAGGTGTGTCTAAAATTTTTAAAAATTACGTAAAATATTAAATGTTTTTTAATAAAAATACAAAAAATATTTTCTTTTTTAAAATATTTTTAGAAAACCTAAACCAAGCAAAGTAATTCTTGCTTGATCATTTGCAAAATTCGTCTTTTTCTAGAAGGCCAGACCAACAAATCGAGTCCTTTATTGAAGAATTCTTACACCTTTCTTTGGACTTTCTCTATGGCTAACTCATAAGTTACGTGTAACCTTGTCCACTCCTTAAACCACAAAGTCTATACATGTGCGTCCTGTTTCTTTCCTCTCTATCTAATCTATTTGCATTCCCAACGAAAATTTAAAAACTTTTTTACTATTTTTTTTCGCATGCTACAATGAAAAAAAATTTTAAAAAAAAAATACTTGAGCCCTTTGTGATTAAGTGGGTGTTTAGGGTTTGGTTTATTTTTATTTTTAGTAAATTTTTTTTAATTTTTTTTAAAGCTTTATGGATTCTATTCGATGAGACGAATTGAAAGTTTTTTAAAAATTGAAAAAAAAGCTTAGAAAAGAAAAAAAATAAGTAAAAAATGGTAGATTTATTTTTTATTTTTTTTAGATTGGTTTACGTAAGACGGACCAAAAAAGTTTTTAAAAAAAATGACTTAATTATAAAAAAAGCCACTAAAAAAAAGGAACAAAAATGTGACTAATTTGGAAGCTCAAAAAAAAAAAAATCCTTCAAAATAAAAATAAGTAAACTTTTTTTCCAAAATTTAAAAAGTTGACTTATTTTTGTTAGAACTTTATAAAAATTTTATATTTTTATTTTATATTTTTTATTTTTTAGAATGACTAAAACTTAATAAAAATATATCAAAAATTAAGTCAATTTATAAACTGCAATAAAAACAAATAAAATAAAAAAGTTACTCAAGCCCTTCATGTTTAATTTATGGGCAAATTACAAACACCCTCTCGAGATTTGGTGAAAATACAGATTCTCCCTTGAGGTTTGAGAAATTATATCTCGCCCCTTGAGATTTATATTTCCATAACAAATTGCCTCATGAGATTTTTATTTTCATACAGATTTTCCTTAATTTCTCCTAATTTGTTATGAAAATTTGACCCTCAGGGAACAATTTGTAATTTCTCAAACCTCAAAGGAGAATCTATATTTTTATCAAACCTCATGGGGGTGTTTGTAATTTGCGCTTAATTTATCCAATGAGTGTGTGTCCCACTAGATTGTGGATAAAATTTAATGAAGTTCTCATATAATATATTTGTGGCTTTTTAAAAGTTTTTTTGGGAGGCCAAGACCCTCACTAGTCTCCTCTTTCAATTTTTAAATTTAATTTTTTGGAAATTGAATTTTTTGTTATTTTATTTATTTTTAGTGAATATTTTTAAAATTTTAATAATTTTTTACTTTTTTAGATGTGCTTTACTTAAATATATTTAAAAAATAAAATATTTATAAAAAATATTTTAAATAATTAATAAATATACAAAAATACGAAAATTGTACTAAATTTTTATATATATTTTTTAATATTTTTGATATTTAGTGAATTTTTTTTTAAAAAAATTCACAAATATTATACATTTAAAGTTTATCTATGTTAGGTGTGTCTAAAAATTAAAAAAAAATTACTATAAAAGTAAAATTTTTTAAAAACTGAATTTTAGAAATCAAAACTAAACCGATTGATTGAGATTTCATTGACATAATGATTTGTGCAATTATATTTTGTTGGTATATTTAGCAATAGGGAAATTAGTCTAAGGTTTCTCTCACATTTTTAATAATAGAAGAGATCCACAATATTTTTTTTGATGTCTAAGGTCCCTAAACCCACACCCGTATATCATATCAGAGAAATTTGACTCTCTCTCCTTCTAATGAAATTCTCACACTTACAATGACCCTTTAACTGTCATGATCTCTCTCTCTCTCTAGAAAATGTCGAAACACACTTCGCAGCGATCCTCGCAGCCGCCTTGATCTCCCTCCTTGTCTCTGGCTTGCATCGGCGAGATCAACAACCTAAAAATCATCACGAACGACCACCCCATGATCCGCTTCAAGAAATTCGGGTTCACCTACACTGGCCACGTGAACATCACGATCTCCGGCATGTCATTATCAATTCAATCATTTTCGGCCTATTCCAATGCTTCAAAGACCCCTCTTACACCAATTGTCACCTCTGTTTCGCTGCGAGTCAGACCCGAATCCCCCATTGTCTCCCCTCAATCTCAGCTCGAATCTACCTCAATGATTGTTTTTTATGATACGAGAGCTTTGATTTCTTCAATCAAAGCGTCAATTCAGCTCGAGACACTGTGAATTGTGCTACTGATGTTGTAAGGGAGTTGGGTTTTGAGAGTAGGGTTGGGGAGGTAATTAGTGATGTGATTCAAGAAGCGGTGGTGAACGGAGGGTTTGCGGTGGGGGAAGGGAACAGGGTTTATGGATTGGCGCAGTGTTTGAGGAGTATGAGTAGTGGTGGGTATAGAGAGTGTTTGGAAAATGCGGCGGGTGAGGTGAGAAGGTGTGTGCCTAGTAGGGAAGGTAGAGGGTTGAATGCTAGATGTTATTTGAGGTATTCCACTGTGAAGTTCTTCAATGGATGTGAGAAATTGCAGAGAAGTTCTGGTTAGTCTCTCTTTGTCTCTATTTTTTGAATTTGATCATATGAGAATTTGTGAGTAAATGGAGTTTGATTTTAGTGTTTTTATTGTTGAATTCTTGTGTTTGACGTAAAACTGCTTTTGAAAATTTAAGAGAAATTCTCTCTAGAGAAATTCTGGACTTTCCAAAGAATTTCTCTAAGTTCAACCCAGAGAAAATTCAAATTTCTCTAGATTCATTTATAAGGTAGAGAAAATTCAAAATTCTCTGGGTTCATTTTAACTAATTTTCTCTGGATCATAAAGACACATTATTTTATGAAATCCAGAGAAATTCCCGAATACATCTTCAAAAAACCAATCATCACATAAATTTATTCCAACAACTGTTAATAAGTTAAAACAAACAAAAAATCAAATTTGAACAAGATTGGAATTACCCACTACAATATTCACCATTGATCAAATGACCTACAAATTTATGAACTAAAAAGTTCTACAAAAATCCAAAGTAATTTTCTTTAGGGTTTTTGTGAATTTCTCAGGGGTTGAAGTAAATTTCTCTGGACTGAGAGAATTTCTTTGGGTTGAAGTGAGTCTAGAGAAATTCTGGTAAGATTTTCTCTATGAAGTCGAATTTTTTCTGGTGTGGATTGAATTTTTGATTGAATTTCTCTTGTTTGGACTAGAGAAATTCTCTGGTTTGAAAATCTATAGTTTGTGTATATTTCTTGGTTTCAATGCTCACCAACCATGATGTGCAATGGTTTGGTTTTGAGTAAATTTTAAGCTCATCATGAGATTATAGATGTTTGAGTTTTGAAGGATTTTGACTTTTTGCAATATATGTTAAAAGAGTTTGAATCTAGTAAAATTTTAATTTTCTCTGTTATATTTAGAATTTTCTCTATGATATGTCCAGAGAAATTCAGAATTTTCTCTGTGATATGTCCAGAGAAATTCTTTGGATCGAATTTTCTCTGGATCGATATTGAGGGACCTTAGACATTCTAAAAATATTAAATATTCTTTATATTATAAAATCTTAATATCAGGAATCTTAAAAAAAATTCCCTTAACAATATATAGTCTTATATTTTGAAAAAATATAAAATTATTATTTAGTGAGAATCTTTGTAAAAATCACACATATAATATTAAACTATTCAAATAACCTCAGTAAAACCACCAACCACAACAACAATCCCAACTCCAAGTAACCCCTGACTTCCTGTAAAATACATCTTTCTTTTTAATAATTAATTCTTGTTCCCATCTCCAAACCACCGCTTGTCTCAATATAAAGGGTTATTTTAGAAAAATAGTTAAAAATTAGGGAAAATCGGTCTAGGGTCCCTCTCCCACTTTTCGTAATGGAAGACATCCACAAAATTATTTTTTGATGTCTAAGGTCCCTTTGTAGAAATAAGGTGGCACATATGCACTCCTCGATCGGAAACCCATATAAGGGTTGTTGGGACGCCGTGGACGGAACTGCTTCATCCCAGGGACATTAGTACGCTTGGCTGATACCTTCAATTGGCGGCCATGAAGTTGAGATTCATTCAGAAGCAGAGCCTCCTGAACAGCTTCTGTTTCAAGGAATTCCACATAGGCATACCCCTTTGGTTGGCCATACTTGTTGGTCCGAATAGTGACTCTGTTAACTGTTCCACAAGACTGAAAATGCTGCTGCACTTCCTCAGCGGTACATGAATAATCCACATTCCCAACAAACACTGAACGAGAATCTACTTCCTCCCTATTTGCCTGACTTGCAGCTGCTGCAGCAGGATCTTGTGCGGCACCCATTTCTTTCTCGACCTTGGCCTGCATTTCACGAAGAGCGGCGGCTTCGTCCTCCATCTCTTTCAGCCTCTTCTTCATGTTGTCCAGCTCCATGACAGCTCCATCATCAGCCCCGGCCATGTCGACATCTCTCTCTCTCTCCCTCTCATCTCATCTTCTGATCACCAAACCCACCATCGGAGGTCTCGCCTGGTCACTGTTCATAGAATTTCTCTAACCAATTTTCTCTGGGCCGAAATTTCTCTGGACCAAATTTCTCTGGGCCAGAATTTCTCTGGACTGAAATTTCTCTGGACCAAATTTCTCTGGGCCAGAATTTCTCTGGACCAATTTTCTCTGGACTGAAATTTCTCTGGACTGAAATTTCTCTGGATCAAGGTTGAGGGACCTTAGACATTATGAAAATATTGTTGATGGACCTTAGACATTATGAAAATATTGTTGATGGACCTTAGACATTATGAAAATATTGTTGATGGACCTTAGACATTATGAAAATATTGTTGATGGACCTTAGACATTATGAAAATATTGTTGATGGACCTTAGACATTATGAAAATATTGTTGATGGACCTTAGACATTATGAAAATATTTGGTGTCCTTTATGCTATAAAATCATAATACCAGGGACCTGAAAAAAAATACCCCTAAAAATTAATGTTTTAAATATTTTTTAAAAAAATATATAAAAAAATATAAGAGATGATATGATTCAAAATGAGTTAAAAAATAAAAGATAATTTTTAACTATCTTCTCAAAATAATCCAAAATACATCTATCTTTTTAATATATAATTTTTTTTATTGATTGGCTTGTAGTACCAAAAGTTACAATTTATTGGTGGAACAACTTTATGAGACCAATATGGCCGACAAAACAGTGTCCATTGTACAGCCATTTGAGGACGGCCACACTGTAGTACTTCTCTCTTTATCCTTTGCAATAATGATAGAGATCACTAAAAAAATTTATCACTAATAGTTTTAATGAGTTGAAAAATATAAAAAATAAAAGAAAAAAAAAAAACACAAGAGACAACTATGAAGAGCCACCTCATTAATATTTTCCTAATGCTCCTTTTTTAGTGCCTCAAGCATTAATCTTCTCCTCTGTGGCTATCTTGTAAGTTACGTGCTACCTTTTTCACGCCTACAACACACAAGTCAATACACGTGCGTGAAGGTTCCTTTTCGGCGTATCTATTGCATACATACACAATGAAGTGAGTAAAAAGTCAGTAAAAGTGAGTAAAAAGTCGGCTTTTAACTTTTTTTTCAGTGACATCACCAAAAAGTCCTTTGTGGAAAGAAGCAATTAAAAGTAAGATTGACTCCATCTTGCAGAATCATACTTGGGAGTTGGTTGATCTACCCCTAGGCAGTAAGGCCTTGGGGAGTAAGTGGATCTTTAAAAGAAAGATTAAAGCTGATGGGTCAATTGATAAGTATAAAGCTAGACTCGTTATCAAAGGATACAGGCAGAGAGAAGGCCTTGATTACTTTGATACGTATTCACCTGTGACAGGGATTACATCCATTCACATGGTGATTGCGATAGCAACGCTACGTGGTCTAGAGATACATCAAATGGATGTAAAGACAGTTTTCTTAAATGGAGATTTGAATGAAGAAATCTACATGGAGCAACCCGAGGGGTTTTCAGCTCCAGGACAAAGTAAAAAAGTCTGTAAACTTGTCAAATCATTGTATGGTTTGAAGCAAGCTCCTAAGTAATGGCATGAGAAGTTTGACAACGCTATGTTGTCAAATGGATTTAGAATCAATGAGTGTGACAAGTGCATATGTGTTAAAGATACCGACAGAGGTTATGTCATTTTGTGTCTATACGTAGACAACATACTCATTGTTGGTAGTAATGATGAAATGGTTCAAACTACCAAGAGATTGTTA